CATCCAGATGGTGTGGATGGTATCGGGACGTTTGCCGTGTAGTGCGTTCACGAAATTTGGCGGCTGGGATTAATCCGAACAATTCCTCAGAGCACTCCCCGTGATAGATGCGATAAAATACGCAAAGAGATGCAACATCTCTTCGCAGCGCCAGTGAATCGAGCCGATCGGAAAGCACTCGGTCGTCGACGATTCGAGCCGCTCTGCGCTGGATGCGGTCAAGTGGAAGGAGCTGGTACTGGGGAGCCCCAGCCCAGAGATGGGAACAGTATTCCATGAGCGGCCGAACCTGCGCCTTGTAAAGTTGCAGGCGGTGTGCCGGCATGAAATACTGTCCCGCTCTGCTGAGCACGCCAAGCTTTTTAGAGGCCAATTTGGCCTTCCCTTCCAAGTGACCACGAAACTGCACGTCACTCGATATGTCGACGCCGAGGATTCCGATACTGGCTGAGGCAACAAGGGGGAGTGCCTTGAAACTGAGGGGATACGACAAAGGGGTTCTTTCTAGCGGTTAACGCGCAAACTTGTGTCTTCTGGGGGTTAAACTGGACTAGATTTAGTCGCCCCCAATCCGAGACTCTATCCAGCAGAGACTCGACTTCAGACACAAGTTTGTCCCGGCACTCAGAGACGTTTTCCCGAGAAATATTTGCTCGGCCGGTGTAAAGAGCATCACCAGTGCTGTCATCTGCATAGCAATGAATGCTACGGGTTTGCAACATATCATTGATATGCAGAAGAAACAGCGTTGGCGATAGCACGCAGCCCTGTGGAACACCAGCATTAATAAGCTTGCAATCGGAGCTTGCACCGTCTACAACGACCTTGATGCTCCGATCTGCAAGGAAACTGGTGATCCAATCGCACAATTTCTCGGGAAGCCCATAGGAAGGGAGCTTCGAAAGAAGCGCTTTGTGCCAAACCCGATCGAAGGCCTTCGCAATGTCCAAACTAACGGCCAATGCCTCCCCCTTGGACTCTACTGCCTCCGCCCATCTGTGAGTTAGGTAGACCAGAAGATCACCAGCTGACCTACCACGGCGAAAACCGTATTGGCGGTCACTAATCAGCTGGTGATCCTCAAGGTACCTCATGAGCTGGCAGTTTACAATGGACTCCATTGTTTTGGAGAACAAGGAGGTGATGGCGATAGGCCGGTAGTTGGACGGATCTGAGCGGTCGCCTTTTTTAGGGATCGGGTGGACGAAAGCCGTCTTCCATGATTTTGGGACTACGCCTAGGGAGTAGGAGTACCGGAAAAGACGCGTTAAAACCGGTGCCAACTCTGGAGCACACGTCCTCAGCACAATTGGGGGGATTCCATCAGGCCCACTCGACTTATGGATGTCCAGGGAGAGGAGTGCTTTGCGAACCGAGCGCTGAGTGAAGTGCACTTCCGGCATGGAGCACTCACACCGCGGGATGGTCGGCGGCGTACTCCCCCCGTCATCGAGAGTCGAGTTAGACGCAAAGAAAGAGCCTAGAAGATCGGCTTTCTCCTTTGCGGTGTGGGCCAGTGAGTCGTCCTCCCTGTGCAGAGATGGAAGAGATGGCTGACAGAAATTCCCCTGGACAGCCTTGGCGAGAGACCAGAATGCACGGGTTCCAGAAGGAAGACGAACTAGTCTCTCGCCAATTCTGCCTATGTGCTCTGACTTTGCCTTGGCAATGACTCTTTTGAAGGACCTAGAGGCGGAATTATACTTCTTTTTTAGAGCGCTGGTGTTTACATCCCTGGACGCTGATGCGTCAGCCCAGGCTTGGTAGCACTCCTGCTTATAGCATGATGCTATTTTACAGGAGCGACCAAACCATGGCTGAGATTTGCCTCCAATGGGCACCACAGAGGAAGGAATAAAAAGTTCCATACCCTGAAGTACCACATCAGCGACAGAATCCGCAACAACGTTGGGATCATCCGGCGAGAAGCAAACCCGCCCCCAAGGGTAGGATGCAAAGAAAGACCGCATCCCATCCCAATCGGCTGACCTATAGTGCCAAACACGGCGGCAGCCTGCAGAATGCAACCGCGATTTCAGCGTGAGTGGCACCACACTCCGGACAAGACAATGGTCCGAGGAGCCTAAAGGGGGCGTCGACGGAAATCTGATATCCGTCCGGGTGAGAGGTCAGCAGAAGGTCCAACAGGGAAGGTGCATGATCCTCCACATCTGGAATCCGCGTAGGCGAAGTAACCAGTTGTGTCAGACCATATGCCAAGGCAAAATCATGAACAGATCTCCCCGCATGATCGGTTAAACGTGAACCGAGCCATTCGGCGTGATGGGCGTTGAAGTCGCCGAGGATCACGATCTCTGCGATATTTTTTGTAATGAAAGTTTAATTAATTTGTGACTATCTGAAATTTCTTAATAGTAAGCTAATACATCGTGCTTTTCATGTCTTTAATAACGCGTTTTTTTTATAGATTTATTACTATTTAAGCTTATGTTCCATATTTTTGCTTCTACGTTACTACTTTGTATGTTACCAAAATTTTCCCTTACAAAGCATTAAAAACAGTTTGATAGTGTTTTTGTAATTGCACTGGCAACACTAAGTATTCAGGCAGCACAATTTTTTTTAAAAAAGACGCCATCTTGTCGTGTCGGAAGTCTGTCAAAGGTGCACGCGTGTGTTTCGGCAGTGAATTTTAATTGTGAATTTTGGCGATTTCAAAGGTAAATATCAGTTTTTATTGTTCACATATTATATATTATTATGCACGAGTAACTAATAAGTGCGTGGTAATGTGTCTATGTTTAAAATTCACCTTGATGTCGAGTTATGTCTATTTATAACCTTGAAAAATCGCACTTTAACGTTACTTCTATGTAGCTTTGATGTCACTGGTAACGTTGATTGTATGTTTCGTAACGTTTTACTGTTGTAAAGGTTTGTGCATATGCAATTTATTAAATATACTTTTTTGTAAAAAATATTTACCTTTTTTTTAAGTTTTGATCATGTAGAGTAATGAAAAATCCACTCAGTAATTTTTTTATTTGATATACAGAGGGCATTTTTTTATTTGGTTTCCAAGCAGTTACTAATTACCTACTTATACTTTTATTTATTGGTATAGATTGTTTTACGAAATTCAAAAAACGCATAAGACAAGAGTAGTTTATTTGCCTTAATTAATTTGTGTCATTTAAGTAGTTTGGACATTCGTGGAAACTGAAAAAGAAAGGTTTTTAAACCATATTTTTGTGCCACTAAGTGGAAAAATAAAATAAACTCAAAAAAAGTAAAAAACGACTTCAAAAAAATAAAGTTTAATCTTTTGTGAAAAACAATTAAGGATATCGATGCCAATTGTTTCTAAAAAATTAAACCAAATCTAACTGTTTACCACGTATTTTTTTAAAAGTTTTTTTTTACTTTTTTAATGCTTACTTCGATATTCGCGCGAACGGTCTTTTCTTTCTAGCAAAGGATGTCGATTAGCGTTAAAGAGAGATACACATACGTACAAAAAAATGTGTTGCGAGGCGGGTAGTGTGACCCTTAGTCAATGTATTAAACATGACTGGTTGAATGAATTAGAGCCCTTAAACCATACTATCCCTTTAATTTTCTGATTAACAATAAAACAATATAAACATTGTCACAGATGCCGCCGAGGACTTCAGCTGAAAAGCAGAAAAAATATCGCGATAAGTTGAAAAAAGAAAACCCTCAAAAGTATGAAGAAATACAAAAGAAGGCCAAAGAAAGATCTGCACGTTACTATGAGAAAAAAAGAGTACCTATACTGAAGAGCACAAACAAGAATTACGGAATAAATGGAAGGTAGATCGGAAAAAAGCAAAAGATGCAAAAATGGCATCACAAAATGAACCGGGTACGTCACATACTTCAAATTCCAAGCAAGATAATAACCAATTAACTTGCCGTAATATGCAACGCCGAATTGAATACAGACTGAAACAAGAAACTGCACAACTGAGATTACAGTTAAATACATTGACTAAAGGTTTCAAAAGTGTTCAGAAAAAAACGAATAGACAACAAAAGAAAATAGACAAGATGCAGGCAGATTACGAAAATTTATACTAGATTAATCACGACAGATGAAACAAAGGACACATATACGCGAGAATTAGAAGAGAAAACACCGATGAAAGAAGTAACAGAGTTCATAAATATAAAAACATACCTAACATTGAAACTCCCAAAAAAGAAGAAGTTAATAAGAAACTACTAGAACACGATGTACTAACGAAGTCACTAAAATTACAATTCCAAACTGCTAACAATACCGAAAAGAATGTTTTGAGAAAAGTTTTGGATAACAACATTGTGAAAAAATATAAACTGAAAACAAGATTTTTTTTTTTTTTTTTCCTAAAAGGCAACTGTGAATGTCACTCACCTGTAGCTCATAGCTTTTTGCCCACTATTTACGCAAACGAAAAACACACATCGAATAAACAAGAAAAATGTGAAAAGAAAAAGGAAGTTAAAAATTCAAAGAATAGCAATAAAACTAGGCGAAGGCGTTTCAGTTCATCAACCCAAGAAGATGAATATGATGATAGTATTGAGTATGCGGAAAGCGACGCCTCGGCGTTTTTTTTCTGATGAGTCAATAAGTCCAGATTTTAACGACGATGAAAACAATCTAATCACAAAACTTGACGAAAAAACAGGTGTTCTGAGGCCAAAAATTAATCCAAACAAGAAAGTCACTCTGCTATCCACAATAATTTTAAAGAAACCTAATGCTGAAAATAATCCTAAACATGAAAGGAAAAGAAAAATAATTTGTGAAAATGAAGATTTAATCCATAAAAGATTTTGCGAAACTACGAAACATGTTACTAGGAAAGATGATGTGACAATTTTGTCAAAAATAAGAAAAAACCCGGAAAATACTGCAAGTTATGATTTATGAGAGAGTTATTTATTTGGAAAAGAAGACCCGATAAAGGAAATAAGAAGTAACAAAATTGAGACTGATAAAAGAAAAATCGACCAGAACAGGGAAAACAAAAATGATACCAAAGAAGAGATCAAAAAATTTGAAAGAAAAGTTTCTAATAGAAGAGAAGCACAAAATTGAGATTGAATGTACTAAGAAAGATGAAAGCAAGGAAATCCTAATTGTTATCGCAGAAGAAGAGAGAAAAGAAGCTGATGAAAATAAAGAAAATTATACAATTGAGACTGAATATAAAAAACAACTTGAAAGCATGAGAGGACAAAATAATACTGGTGAAGTTTTACAAGACGCAGATAAATATAAACAAATGGAGAAAACAGATTTAGATAAAATAAACAAATCTGAGAATTTAAAAGAAGATGAAAGTGACAAGGAATCGAATACAAAGGAAGAAGGAAAAAAGCAATTGAGAGTGAAGAAAATACGCAGAACTTTATTTTAAATATAAATGATAGCATAATAGTTCGATATTTCCAAAGGAAAACGTGGAAATATTTTATAGGATTTGTTGAGAATATAGAATTTAAGAACGGAGAAAATTATTATAAAGTAAAATTTTTGAAAACTGTGAAGGATTTATCTGATTCCGTGAAGTTTGTAGTCCAAAGAAAATCAGATATTGATATAGTGACCAATATTTCTATCGTCAAAAAGGTAAATTTGATTCAACGGGAGAAAACCTCTAAAGAATATTACCTGAGTAGAGAGAGTAGAATATTGATTTGGTTTATTTTAATTGTTGAATATTTATTTATAAGGTGTAAGAAAGGTTTTGTATTGCAATGACCTCTTATGTACAGACGCCAGCACATTAGCCCACTCCAATCTGTCAAATTTCTTTAATAGATTTTCAACTTTACCACAAAAGTAGACGGTTCATGTTCGATTGAGAAAATTTGACAGATTGGGGTAGGTTGATGTTCTCGCGTCTGTACCTAGGTTAAAGAGAATTATGTAGTTTTTGTTTTTACTTATTTATGTTATTTCATTTGGCTACGAGATTTTTTTTTAATTTTAAATTTGTTTTAATTACCTACTCGTATTTCTAAAGTATTTTTTAACTACAGATTATAAGAAACATTTCGTGTCAATTTTATAAGAAAATAAATATCAATATTAGTTAGTTTCCTAGAAATGTACCTACTATTTTATTTAAGAAGATAACCCGTGTGATAATTGTAAAAACTTTTAGAGAAAGATTATATTGTTCTAATTTTGTGATTTCACGAAACACTATTGATCTCATTGTGTAGCTTATTTTATAGGTTTAAATCATATTATAATGAATGTTATTTCGTTTTTTTTTTTGTTTTCGTTAGAAGAGTTTTTGTGAAACTCTATCCATGACATTAAATATTTTTGTTACTTCACTTATATCGTAGTATTATTTTCCTGATATTTGGTAAACTTGGTCAGATTTCATGGTTGTGTAATAACTCTAAGCTGTTGATAGTTTTAAACATTTTTCAACTTATTTTTTTTCTATCACTGAACTTCTCACAGTTGGCGAATTGTACAGTTAGCTTATGCGTCGAAACCTCCTCCTTTTTGAAGTCGGCTAAAAATAGCGCGTTATGCAATCGGCCTTACAAACATTACACGTTACTTTCGCGTTACTTCTATGTTACCGTAACATAAAAGTGTCTATGTTACTCTATGTTACTAAGTGGCAAAATCTACGGCCTTACCCATATATATTTATATAAATACATAACTACACAAATACTTATACATACTCTATAACGTATAAATATACAAGTATACGTATTTTGGTCATGATAAATATGAATATTATGTGACGTTTATCATTAATATGGAATGGCAATAATTTTAAGCTGTTAAGATTTTATTTTAGTATATTAAGTATATATGAGCATTATTAAGAAAAAAAAAAACTTGTTAAGATGTTTTATAATATGAAGAGGGATTTTTTAAGCTGTTAAGATTTTATTTTAGTATATTAAGTATATATGAGCATTATTAAGAAAAAAAAAAACTTGTTAAGATGTTTTATAATATGAAGAGGGATTTTGCTCCAGAATGTATAAACATTAGAGCGTTTTTCTCTCATTTTTGAAGTGAAAATTCTTTATTGACATAATGAAAAAATTCAGTACGGTATTAAAATGTTTTCTATTAACGTTTCGCCGCCCGAGCTGCATTAGTAGGTATACTATTATTTAACCTACATATTATGTAAAATATAAAATAAAAGAAGAAGGATAATATCATGCTGTAAAAAATCGCTTTGTACGTGTGTACACTTACACGTAAATTCTTTATTTTATTTTTTATGGTAACAATTATGTATTTCTTTTCGAATAATATTATATGAAAATGTAAGATTTCGGAAGTTAGTCGTCATCTGAAAATTTCGAGTAACTGAATTATATTACAGCATTGTAAAAATGCATGTACGGGAAAATATAGGAAAACACTCGAGGCTTCAGAGAGTGTACATTTTCCATGTGATATTTCCGTTTAAGAAGTGGTGCTGTCTCAAACTATGCAGTAGATTTTGACTTATTTTTTGTAACTCAATTTATTTATTTTTTAATTATTTATAACTTAAAGTAAATCATATATAAGAAATAACTTTTGAAGTTTCACATTAATCATTCCGCAAAAAATTTGCACAAGCGTACTCACGCCATTTAAAATAACCTTTTACGTAAATCCGAAGAATAATGAAGTTATCTATATTTCATTAGAACGTTTATAGTTTTCGATTCTATGAAATAAAGCAAAACATTTAAAAAATAAGCAGTATCAACTTTTTTACCTGACGTGGTTTCAATGATATGTCGCTATATACCTTACCGTAGTGTTTGAACGATTAAAATTCATTGTTATGCGAAAAATCGGTAAAAATATTCAAAGGAATGAATCATAATAATTTTAAATATATGATTTGATTAAATAAACATTTATTTTTAAAATTTCTTAAATTATATGAATCATGAATAAAACAAGTTTTTTTATTTTTACTTGGTCAACGTAAATTTGTGTAGGCAAAAAAACTCATATACAATGCCGCGGTAAAAAAAAACATAACGTAATTGCAAACTCAACTTACTGTGCGTAATTTTGTTATTTTGTGTTTGTCTTCTTATTTTGTGACTCGGCTTTAACTTTTTTGCACTATTTTTTCTATATTCGTTGAAGCATGTGCCCATGTCACAAAGGATGATTGGGCAAAAGTGGTAGTAAAAACAAAATAATTAATTATGAATGACTGAAAGAGACATTAATTTTGACTGCATTATTGAAAATCAAATATTAATTAATCTAAACATCGACACCCCAACTAGTTGTACTGAAAGTTATTGAATAAATTTATTTTTAATCTACTTTCAATCTTAAATTTTTATAACTTTACCTCTAGAAATAAACAGTAACAAAAATACGAAGAAACTGACAAATCTTGTGTTTTAAATTATCGGTTCCTAATTTATTCTGGTATTATTCAAACCAAACTGTAAACGATTACCAACTCTAAATAATAGATATCGATTTTTTTTAAAGAATCTAATATTGTACGTTCCCATTTTTTAGTTGGTATACTTGGTGCAATAAGTTTAACTAAAGTCAAAATATATTTCTTAGGTTTGGTTGTCTAAAATGATATTCTTACCGTATAGTGACGGTGTAAAAATATGCGCACCCCATGTCGTCCCGTGGGTGTCGTACGAGGAAATAGAGGGAAATAAATCAAGATATGCGTATCAGAGTCTTCCTAATAAAAACTAAAAAAAAACTGTGGTTGCCAGCCCGCCTGCCAAGCGTGGCAACTTTGACAATAATATCTTCCTTATGAAACAGTCTACGGTGAGGTCTATATTGCAGCAGTGGACTTTAATAGTCTATAATGCATGATATGGATGATATACATGTCGTACATCAATTTTTTATAGGATATGGTGATAAGCTAACACACAGTCCACCTGATGGTAAGTGGTTGCTGCGGCCCATAGACGTCCACGTCTATCCTCGTTTACATATCAAAATGCAGATGCGTTGCCACCAGTGAGGTCTTAGATGGAATGCCTCGTTTCCATTAAAAAGGGTTTCCGGTTCTCTACGCTCACCATACGAAATACAGCAGCATTAAGCTACTATTTTACACTGGTATTCTGTGAGAGCGTGGTCCTTCCCTGGTCGAGCCATTCGTGCTACAACTAAATCACTAATATAATTGCAGCATGGCTCTACCACGTAAAATAAAAAAAATAATAAAAATAGGAACAATAAGATTTTTATCAAGACCGGCAAGTTTATTTGTTGCTTACTGAGCACTTGGAATGTTTCCGCAACCGTGGAATGCAGTGTTAAATTATTTGAACCTTGCGACAACCAAACCCGCGATATAGACATGAAAACAAAATTAATAACATGTAATATGTGGATTAACACATAAACACCAAAAAACTATACATAAAAATAAGTAATTGTTCTTAGATCTAGATATAAATAAGAGCATTTTAATACAGTCAAGTACATCATATTTACGCATAATGAGTATACCCGTTTGCGTTTTTAACAGAGAATGCAGCATGTATAAAAATATAAATATAGCTAGACTTTGTAAATTCTAGGAACAACCACAAGCCAGTTATACCAGTTACCCAACTCCAAAGAGTAAGTAAATCCTCTAAGAGGAAACGCTTTTAGGAAAATGTCCCAGAAATACGCCGGATCTACCTATTAAGGGGAAATATAACCTCAAATGGCTTAGGAAGATCCTCCGTTATGCCTAATAATCCGAATATTGCAGCATTAATTTTGAAATAAATATATGATAAAGTTGAGGATTAATGTTAGGACTATGTGAAGATTCGTAATTTTCGATAGAAAATCAAGATAGTCAAACTGAACATACCGCTGTTCTCATAATACTTTTAGATATGAAACTTTGTATACTAACTGAACTAACTATAAAGCAGTGCTTATGTTATTTACTTTTTCGTAAATACTATTATTTACACTGTAAAAAGAAATTACCTAAACTATCGGCGTCTTGAAGCTTGATTCCTGCCCCCCCGGTTAGTATCGCCTCGGCTTTTGAAGGGGGAAGTTGTGTCCCTTACGATCAGAATACACATTACGCAACAGGACGACGTAAAATTAAAATAGGCAATAACCGTATTAAAAATAAGAAGCGACTGGGTTGGCGTGAAGAAACAGGCATAAATATGATAAACCTATTGAAATAAGTATCTAACGATCTATATACTTACAGTATTAGTGATTATAAACATGTCGGTACTATATCCCCTTAATAAGTTTAAATTTTTAACTTCTCGCTAAGAAAATTGAAAATTTTCAAAAATGGGAAAGTTATTGATTCCACCCCCCGTGTGTATGTGTGTGGGGCCGTGTGCGTGTGCGTGTGCGTGTGCGTGTGTGTGTGTTTGTAAGTATGTAAACCTTTAATAACTTTTT